CACGCTGAGAGTAATGTTCATTGTATACAAGTAAAATGTATATTTGAAATCTTCAGAGCTGGAATTTACGAACAATTTACGAATAAGCATCTCGCAACAGGTGGCGAGATGTTAACTCCCTCGATAAAAACATAAAATTTAGTTCTGCACTTAACTACTATGTCGATTTTTTTTATTTAAAGCTTTCGTGACTGCAGTGATTCGTATTCTTGGTTCTTTCGGTAAAGTCACGTTGAAGGAAAACAATAAAATAGTAAAATATATATAACAATAAAATTCTCACGACGTTTCGACTGCAACACAAGCAGTCATCATCAGGTGTGAAAACCAACGGCATGAACATTTTGCCGTTGGTTTGAAAACCAACGGCAAGAACATTTTGCCGTTGGTTTTCACACCTGATGATGACTGCTTGTGTTGCAGTCGAAACGTCGTGAGAATTTTATTGTTTTATATATATTTTACTATGACTATGTTTTATTTTACCAGGTAAGGCCTACTGAGCCGTGTAGTTCTTTTTCATAAGCGACCTGGCCACGAATGATAGCCTCTACGAAGTGGCTTATCATCACGTGGAAATATATACTCTAAACGCATGTTGATTCTAAATCTGGAGGGAAAATCCGGAGGACCCGGAGAAAAATACACACGACCACTGGGAGAGAAACATCCAAACTTCAAATATACATACAACAGACCTTTGGACCCCATGTGGCATTGTGCCCTGGGCCATCAGGAATCTCTGGGTGGCCCAACGCGTGCAGGTGCTAAACGGGTTGCTTGCTACATCGCAGGACCGAGATATATATATGTTTGTTAAAAGCCCAAAAGATCCTCTTATTAAATTGACCAATTGTTAAGTTCCGTGTTATATGCAGAAATTCCACTTACAGTTCAACAGAAATATAGTTAGTGTCGCACTCCCGTCTGTAACAGCTGTGAAATCGCCAAGCGCGGTTTGGTTGGAAGATGTAATTTAATCATAATGAGGGCCTCCACATGCCGTGTGAGTCATGGGGGCCATATATGAGACGACCACACTGGATAAGCACTTGGCAGAAACTCTTCACGAATCACTGATCCAGGACCATCACTTTATGATCATCCAGGACCTCTTCACAAATCACTGATCCAGGACCATCATTTTAAGATCCAGGACCTCTGCACAAATCACGAATCCAGGACCATCACTTTATGATCCAGGACCATCACTTTATTATTCACGAAGGTAATGCATTTTGCTCCAAAGCCACTTCCGTAAATAAAACTTGCATATATTAAGATAACCTGAAGCCCCACTTAGGCTTGCTTGGTTTTTTTTTTACACATTAGGTGCAATACCCGGCTTGAGACGGCCGGCCGGTAGTGGCTCTATGCCCGCCTGTAATTCAGCAATGTGGAGATCAGGGTTCGTGGATCACCGCACCAATGTGGAAAAAACTCCCTTCTCGTGGGCGTCGGGAAGAAGCCGTACCCTGGCTGTCCGGGAGAATAAAATACGCAAAAACATTTTGACTTCAACTGTTCCGTCCGTATGGCATAGAGAGTTCCCCACCCCCCTCGCACACGTGGGTTCTCTCTGAGTGCTCCAGTGTCATCCCACATGTAAGCACTCATCAACACCTTACAATGTAGAGGACCGCAGAGCTTTGGCAATTGTTGGTGCCGGCTCACTGCTTGGCTGCCTTCCCACTTGTCTGGGGTTCCGCCTTGCGCCTCTTGAGTCGATATTTTGGGATTTTCGAGAGCGAGTGAATACGGTTGGGCGCGTTGCAATGTCAAATTAATATCCATCAGAAGGCGCTCCCAATCATTGTAATTGAACGTGGTGGAAATATTCGGTCAAGTATATATTTTTTGTACGTGTAATTGGTAGTAAATATGTCACATGGCTCCGTCACCAATATCATGAACATCCTTTGATTCCTTACGGTGAAAATGTCCCCATGAGCGACTCTGTGTGGTTAAAAACGACTAAACTCAGTGTTGTAACCAACGGACTGACAGATGAACGGACGCACTGATGGACAAATGACGTTTCTTACATAGACACACAGTTTTTGCCCTCCACGTTTAGAAACATCTGTTTAGATGATATGGCTGCTAGAAACTTACACGCAATAAGAAGCCACTTCGTTGAGCTATCATTAGTGGTCAGGTCGCTAATGGCTCAGTTGGGATTTACCTTGGTAAATAGAATATGGGGGGGTTTTTTTCCATTGTTTTTAATTTATTTAACAAAGACAGCACACATTGGCTCGGTGGCTGTGAACAGCAGGTGCACTCAATATAAAGTGACGCTATCGCGAGCGCCATTGGATTGAACCTTACTCTCTGGGAATAAATCACCTGCCACAGCAGGACTTTATCAGCCACGTACGCTCAGCCGACTGTTAATAAAAAACTCCCCCCCCAATGAATGTACCTGTTATCTTCAAGGCTACGGCAAACATTTGACGTTTAAACTCTAGATAAGGGATCACGAGGGAGGAGGGGGGGGAAATGGCATCGTTATCTTCAGCAAAGGGAGCACAATTCCAAGGGCATTAGTCACATAGTGTCCGCATTGAGGTCTCTGTGTAGCTCTTTTGTGCGCGCCACTAACTGGTACCGAGTGAAGCGGAATTGCCCAAAACCAGCGGGTCTTGACCCTTCCGTGGCTGGTGGAGGGCACAGGCTGCGTGTAGGAGACAATTTTTAATGTGCTCCGGGAATGTTGGCGCCACGTTACGGCGACAAAAAAAAACAATAACACAGACATGAAACAAATGCCTGGCACTTGACCGAGAGACATGGACATGTCATCCCTCTGTATTAATGTCAGTATCTATCACTGCCTGAGTAACCTTAGTGGTGTTTTTTGGGGCTAAATGAGGACGTTGCAGGAGGGTGGTGGAGGTGCGGGAAGCAGTGGTTTTAAACTAAACGAAGTTTTTATTGAGGGGCTGCAATTATGATAAGGTTTGGATGGTGTGTTCTTTGCTTATTTCCATGCTCCATCTAGATCTTTGCTTCGTTTGAGTTGAGAGGTCCATAACATTTTCAATATCGTAGAACCCTCTTATCCACTCCCCAATGATCTGCAACTCATATTATCTACGGGTGCTATAGGGTCTGTTGCTTTCCATGCAGGGTTTTGGTGTTTCGATGACTGTCCTGATCATCATAATCAGTAGCCAAGAGGCAAATGTAGAATTTTCCAATTTTCTTCTCTGGTAAGCATTGATTTTTTTAAAAAAACTATCTACACCCACCTCACCCCTTGGATTCACGACTATAAGCAGCCAACATCAATCTAACGCTGGATGAATGCCTCCCCAAGTTGTCGCCATGTCTAAACTATCCTTCAGGGCTACATGTTGAGTATTTTTTTATGATGGGGCAAGAAACGAATCCCTCCATGGAAGGGTGAGTGTGTTCTTTGGTCTTGAGCAAGTGTCCTAATCTTAAGCGAAGCCAATAAAATAACGGACAACAGCTGTGTCAGGTTTACCAGATTAAATGTTGATTTGAGGTTTTCGTTGACTGCAGGAATCCATACTCTTTGGTTCTTTCGGTAAAGTCACGTAAGTAAAAAAAAAATCATAGATCACGACGTTTCGATCGCCATACAAGCGTTCGTCCTCAGGTCACCTTCGTGACTTTACCGAAAGAACCAAAGAGTATGGTTTGCCAGAGTGCACGTGCAGCAGACCTCATTTTCCCAGGAATCCACGTACCCTGTTGCACGTGGTGGTGGCAAGAGGCCCAGAGAGTCCTCTCGGCTTTTATGCAGGTTTCGAGAAATTAACTATTCAGTATAAAGTCACCACGGGCACATTGTGACCTCAACCTCAGGGGGTCACATTCCAGCCATGATATTTCACTGTCAGCAGCGGCGCTTAGTGATGTTGTACGGTATGATTCTGAAATTGAATCTCAATCCCGAATCCAGTTATTAATTGTAACGTTCTAATAACCAGCCCCGTTGTCTTAGTTATGTTTTTTTTTACCATACTTCACCATGTTGGTCAGTGCGGGGTTTTTTAAGGGGTGGGTTGATGGGTGTGAGAGGGGGGGGGGGTGGGTGCCAGGATTGTTTCAGATATGACTGGCCGTCGATGTTAACCATGGCGGGGGAATTTAACTCAGGTGAATCCCATTACCATGGTCAAATATATGTCACAATCATTCTGAAAATCCAATATCTTAATCATTGGCATCAGCCATTGTCTTTATCCACTGTTTGTTTAATGCCCTCCCCCATGCCGTTACCACAACTCACAGTACCACAACACATCTCACACCAGAACTAATAATTTGACAACTGTAATTGTTTGTATATGTCATTGTATAATTTTTTTCTCTCAAATATATTTATTTGTAATAAAATTTTCAGTTTTTGCCACATAAATTAAATCGTTATTTTTGTAAACACAGTACCGTATATGAAATATGCTGGTCAAACCAGAATTTATTGTGAATAGTTAAGTCGTATATTTTCAATTAGCGTTATAAAAGTAAACAGTGACGTAAATAATAATTGTACGGAGCATGTCCAATTCATTTAAAATAACCAGACAACAACGAGGCACCTCCTAACCATTATTTTCCACAATCATTTTTAATGTTTATTTGAAGTTAAAAATACTATATGTAACCATAATATATCACAATTATGCCTGTACAACTCTCGGAAATTTTCACCTTTATCAAATTTCATTAAAATAACAACATTCAAAATTGCCTTTGGCCATGTAGCATACGCATTTACAAACAGCTGTTTTCAAAAGTCAAACGTAGCATATCCGAAAGTATTTATTTAAAACAATTCATAACGTACAGTGCACAAGCCTGAATTGTCTTTTTAAAAATGTACACAACTGCGTTTTTTCGTAAGGACAAAGGTCGTTTGGTTTTTGAAGAGATGTGTGCATTCCTGTAGGGTTCTCTCCAGACAGCGATCTCAATGCCCAGGTCATAGAGTTTACCGTTTAATAACCTTTGCTTTGACTTCTTGCTTTATTTCCTTCTTTTTAAATTTAAACAACTTCATTCTGAAACAAAAAAACGGGGAGGGGGGGGGGTGGAGGAAACAGCGGTCGTAAAACAGAGTTCGAGGACAACGGAATATAAGACGCATTGGTGAAGGCAATGGACACATTGAATGTCCTGTTGAGTGTTTAGGGCTGGTCGAAATAATCGCAGCTGAGCAGAGTCGTTGCATTTATGACCCGATTGGAGGTTTACGAATCGGTCAGTTGGTCTGACGTCTACAAACTAATCTGCCTCTCTCTGCTCCAATTGCGGCTATAAAGATTTAAGACTCTGGAAATTTAATTTAAAAAAAACGGCTCATTGTGTTCAAATTTCGATAAAGCAAATGTTTACGTCAATTAACCTATGACATTTTTTATACTTGTGTTTTCACGACCAATATTAGGATTTACAATTAGTTTCTGATTCATGATGAATCATAATTAATTCCTTTGTATTACATCATCATGTAGATATAGTGTCACTTTTATTAACTATAACTCCAGCACCCAACAGAGCCGATCAAGTTGTCACGTGGGTGGGTGGGGGGGAGGAATTTGTTAATTGATTTGGTTTTTCAGCAAACCTGGAAGTATGCTAAAAAGCAAGCCCGTTTTAAAAATGCTTTCAATGTTTCTCCACCCCCCCCCGCAACCCCTTGAAATGACAACGAGCATCATCAGGTAGGTGTTCACAACATCTCAACTTTGACCTGAAAGACCTTCCTGAAACCGTGTCTTTAAGTTGTTGCCGTGCTGTCGTCAGATTGCCGGTTTGTGATTGGCAGGTTAGATTGGTGTCATATGGTGAAGCGATGCAGTGCTCGGCGAAAATAGACTTCTCTTAACTATACCACATGCAGTTGTACGTGTATGGTGTTAGTTAGAAAGCGCGAGTTGCGATGCTATTGTGAATCTATTTAAGTGTTCGTTAGTTTCGTCCTTTCTCTCCTCGCTTAGCCTAATCCCTACTCATTATCTCCAATTTACTCATTAAAATGTCTGTCCGCTGAGACGTTCGTCACGTTATGGGTGCACTATAAATTAAGGTTGTCGCTAATGTTATTGTTGTTATTATTATACAGTGGCCCTGGTATTCCTGGAAAGGTAGATACTACGTTGCGATATGTTTTCAACTGGCTTTAAATATCGATGTATATATGTATCGTTTTTTTTATCTCTCCCTAACTGGAAGTAATGGGGAGAGGATCGTTGTAAGTAGCGAGGGGAAGGTTTGCAACGAGGGATTGCATCTTACCTTCATGCAGGTGCCACAGAGCACCCCAATGAGGCCGTTGACTATCTGCGTTGTGCACAGCACGACCTGGATGCCGCTGAAGCAGATCAGCATCGAGAAGAGCACGATGTTCCACAGGACTACATTATGAGGCTCGGCACATGTCTCCCAAATATCTTGATTGAACAGGTAGCTACCGTTGAGGCTGAAAATCATCACACGGACGGGGACAAAGATAACGCATATCGGACAACAGCAAATATTGCAGGGACAACTAAAAAATAACAGGGACAACTAAATTAACACACTAATCATGTAAAATTACATGTATATGTATAGTCCCTTATGTCAATCCACTGCTGGATGAGGGCTACCCCACTACCGGATGGGTTTGTGTGAGTTTTATGACCATACTTTACCACGCTGGTCAGTGAGGGTTGGTTAAGGTGGGCAGCATAGGCCAAAGGCTGCCAAAAGGCAGACAGTACAAGGACAAGGCAAAGGCTGCCAAACATTAAAAGCGTTGGTTAAGCAGTTATATCTATGGGACTCTTGCCAGTATTAAGATGTTAAAAAAGACATGATACAGGTGTTAGGGTGTTAAAACACACCAAATAAACACCAGCAGAAGGGAAAACTGCATCTACAAGCCTTGTCTTACGTGGTGTATTATTGTGAAATTGACAAAAACTGAGACTTTTCAGGGCCTGGGAAGACTCAGAGATTTCCCAGGACAGCGACATCAAGAAGAGGACGATTATGATGAAACGAGGATCGGTGGAGCCCGTCTCAGAGAAGGCCTCATCTGGCGTTTTGCCCAGGGCCTCCAAAAACGTTTTGGCGACTCTCGCGAGAGGTTGTGGCGGCGAGGCATGAAACTCCACGTACTTAAGATATTCATTTTGCATGGTGGCGTTCTTGAATGGGGACATCCAGGAGGAATCATCATCCTCGACAGTCATGCAGAAGGGTCCATCCACCAGGCCAACGACTGACACAATGAAGCAGTACCCAGCGCCCAGGATACCCGCGGCGTTGAAGAGCACGGAGAACAGCATCTGCGACAACATTCACGTTCACTCGTTAAAACCGTACACGTGACCATTGCCTCGTGCACGTGTGCATGTGCAGCCCTAGTTTTGTTTTCTCTCCCAATCCACCGCTCGACGAAAGACCTCGGCCACGCCGTGAGTTTGTCGTGGGAGTTCTTTGACAATGCTTCGGCGTGCCGGTGAGTGGGTGTTGGTGAAGGCGTCGAGGGCAGAGAGAAGGTGACATAGAAATACAAAACTAATAATGTATTTAACCCAGGTCACCCTTGCCAAAGAGGAAATGTTTCACCGCTCTCAATCGCTTTATTTCATCTCCTGGTTAAATCAAGGCTACAACAACTGTACATCTGTGAAAAGAGCTTCGTAGGTCATCGGATCCCTCCTGTCTACATAAAGATTTCGTTTTGATGAACAGATTGAGAGACGGAAGGAGGCAACACACGGAATCGAGAACCTATGGATGTTAATGACTTCATTGCAATTATACTCTTTGGTTCTTTCGGTAAAGGCACGTAGGTAGGAAAATAATAAAATAAAATGAAACAAAACATTAATTGTTAAGACAAGTACCGGTCAGTGGGCTTGGACAGAATTCATCACTCGGCAGAATCATACAGGAGGCGTTATAGAGTGGCAGCCAGGGATGGAGGGCTGCTGAGAGGACGTCCAACTTTAAGATGGAGCGATGAAATCATCCGGTGTGAAGGTGGCGAGGTGGATCGTTGCATCGTGAAATCGAGAGAAAAAGGTGGCTTGATGATGATGATGATGAATATAATCAACCGTTTTATAGTTGGGTTTCATTGGCTTATGATATCGATCACAAAAGTGTGTGTTCTCTAAAATGATAAATGTAATCTTTACCCCGCAACGATTTCCACAGCAGCCCTTCTCATCCAGCCTGGTGTTGAGCAAGGCTGGAATGAATATCTGAAAGGGAAAAAAAGAAACGACGCAATATAAGCGGCACTCGGTAAAGTATTTACAACACTTGTTTAAAATCTTAGGGACAGTCTGCACATAACAAAATTGCTGCTAAGTCATTTACAAAACTTTGTGCTGGCTTAATTAAATCAAAGTTTCTCGGCGGGAAAAAATGTGCATCAGATTAAGGTTACAGCAATTCTAGATATCACATTATTTTACTTTCTGTATAATCCCTACATAATATACCGTGCACGCAGTCATTTTACACAAATGCATACGTGCAATTTACTCGAGTTGTAACGATATATAAATCAATATATTAAGAGATTAAGCTAAAAATGCATATGTTGAACTTTATATGAATGTCTTGTGAGGCGAGGCTGTTGCAATGGTTCACACATTGCACGATGAACCCAACAATCTGAGTTTGATTCCCAGCCACGACTAACACCAGTGGCGAGTGTTATCTGAACCGTTTCAGGCCCCCCCCACCCTATCACCGGACGGCACTCCAGCACGGTGAAGTAATACCCATGGAGATGTTAGCCATGGACGGGAATCGAGCTGATTCAGAGTGCGATCTTGGTTCGTGGAGCATGGAGCAGCGTGCCAACAACTGCGCCACCGCTCCACCGCAATGTATCATTAAAAAAATAGTCAAAGTGATTTCCTACTCCAATGAGCATTTGGCCGTAAGCCAGTGGCATAGAACAACCACGAAAACAGGACTCATTTTATTGACTCCAGTGGGATGATGGGCTGATTTAAGAACCCCAACCAGGATTTGAATTCGAAATTCACAAACTTCCCGTGATTCACCCGGCTGGAATGTACCAGCCCTGAACAATGAAAGACTTACCAGCAGCCCGGCGCCGACTATCCCATGGAAGAACCATACTTGTGGGGTGAGATGATCCTCTGATGCATATTTCACTTGTCCATTGGGGAAAAATAGCAGGATGTTGGCGATGATTGACAGCACGGCCAGCGGAATGAGGGCCTTTCCAATGAAGTCGGCGCACTTGCCGGTACACATCTTTCAATATCTGAGAGAATTAAAAGAAAAAGTCAAGTCTTTCAACAATAAGGGATTAACATATGTTTGCACGGTGGGTCTAAAAGCACATGCAAAGACTGAGAGGGTTTGGTAAAGGTGCAGTCCTGCAATTGCTCAATCACACAACTGTTGGCAGAATGGCTTCCACGAGATGGTGCTCAAGAGAACCCCCTCGAGAGGGTATTTGGCCTACTCTTCCACGCAGTCCAGATATCATGGAAGAAGTGTGAGTAGCCATACTCTGCTACCCCACCTCGTACGACCTGACGATGGACTCTGATGTACTCCTTTTATACTGCTGGGTGGACAGAGGCGGGTGGGTTGTTCTAGAAACTCGCACCCTTGTTTCAACTGTGACTGTGTAAACCATTACACCATTACATTTTGATTTAAAGCTTTCGTGACCGCAGGGATTCATATTATTGGTTCTTTCGGTAAAGTCGCGTAGAAGGGAAACAATAAAATAATAAAAATATATAACAATAAAATTCTCACGACGTTTCGACTGCAACACAAGCAATCATCATCAGGTGTGAATTGTATTGTTTTATATTTTTATTATTTTATTGTTTCCCTTCTACGCGACTTTACTGAAAGAACCAAGGATATACATTACACCATTGTTATTGAAATTTAGTGGTAATTTGGCTAATAAAAATTGCGCCAAATAAAGGCGCAAACAGCTTTTCCGCCAAAACACATATCAGGCCCAGCATTCCAAGGGACTCTCATTTGGTGATTTGAACAAAACCATCAAAGTGCAATAGAAAATGCCTCCCTGCCTAAATCAGCTGCAGGGCAGCACTTGTCTCTGTTGGCAACCCTGAACCAACGGTGAAAATTCCACACTCAAACAGACAGAGCCAATCCTACTCTTTGGTTTTATTCGGTAAAGTCACGTAGGTAAAATAAAATAAAACAATTAAATCACGACGTTTCGGAGGCAACACGAGCTTCCTTCTTCAGGTGGAACAGTCACAGCACAATATCTGTGTCAAGAGCACAATTACTCATTGTTTTTTTTCGGTAAAGTCACGTATGTAGAAATACCATACAATATATGAAAATGAATCAATCACGACGTTATAGTATTTCTACATACGTGACTTTACCGAAAAAAAAACAATGAGTAATTTATGCAGTCACGAAAGCTTTAATTCTTTATTAAGAGCACAATTCTTGTGTTGCCTCCGAAACGTCGTGATTTAATTGTTTTACTTTATTTTACCTACGTGACTTTACCGAATAAAACCAAAGAGTATAAATCCTTGCAGTCACGAAAGCTTCAAATCTAGAGCCAATCCTCTCACTTTCCCACGTACTCAACTTCACGAAACCCTGCTCTGCAAGTCCTCGCTGTTACGTTAATGCACACACACCCTGTCTTGCAAGTTCAGTGCATTTGAACTGACCTTGTTTGCGTTCACAGTCCGAGAGCTCAGGTGAGGATGAGGTGAGGAGGATGAGGAGATGCTTGCTGCTCGTTGCTCCGATCGATGAACGAATGCCTGAGCCGTGATGCCGTGTCGCCTTATGTACTCGCTAAGCCACAAAATTTCGCAAGTTTCCACGGTGACAAGTCCTCCGCTTTGTGTGTGTGTGTGCGCACGGTGGGGGTTGGGAGGGGTGTTGAACCCCCTCGCCGCCCTGTCCGTAGTCGGTCGGTACGAGGAGGAGGGGTGGAGGGGATAAGGAGAAGGGGGCAGCCCTGCTTCACTCGTCACGGCTGTTGACCCGTCCGTTAATGTTTAACCAAAAAAATTAAAGCAACGACCTTTTTTTTGGGGGGGGGGGGGGTCTCCTATCCGTGCCACGGTGTAAAACAAATTGGTGCAAGGTACCGGGTGGCACAACACGCTGACGCATACTCCCGACAATATAACCGCACGCAACACCAGCCCAGCCCTTAACCTTGGAGAATGGAAAGCACCGCACATAATGTATATGCTATTTACCAAGATATTGGGTCCTTCTCAAAGGGGCCTTTTGGCGTTCGGGAAAGCCCTCTGTTGTGCCATAACGGCCACCTGCCCCTTTGCAACCAAAAAAAAACCGGACTGATGGGAGCAATGGCTGGCACCACGGGATTAGATAAACAAATGAATTCTGGGTAAACCCATGGTGCATGCGGTTTATTGGTTTCAAATACTCAACATATGATCACACTTTCCAAGTAGGGCCTTCTGATAAAGAATCTTGAGACATAAAAGCGGTCCAGGAAAATGAATACAGTATCTTTCGATTTAAAGCTTTCGTGACTGCAATGATTCATCTTCTTTGGTTCTTTCGGTAAAGTCACGTAGAATGAGAATAAAATAATAAATTGATAAAATAAAATAACACAATAATATTCTCACGACGTTTCGGCCACAACACAAGCGGCCTTCATCAGGTGAAGGGGCGAGACTGTCTGGTAGGACAGCGCTGGAGTGGACTCTCCAGCGCTGTCCTACCAGACAGTCTCTCCAGCGCTGTCCTACCAGACAGTCTCGCCCCTTCACCTGATGAAGGCCGCTTGTGTTGTGGCCGAAACGTCGTGAGAATATTATTGTGTTATTTTATTTTATCAATTTATTATTTTATTCTCATTCTACGTGACTTTACCGAAAGAACCAAAGAAAATGAATACAGTACTTTGGTATTAGATGTTTGACATGTAGTTAAGTACAGGACTATAAATCACATTGCATGATGTATCTTGAGCTTTGGTCCCTGCACCTCCAAGTTCTTGATCAAACAATTGCGTCCGATTCGCGAGCTTGTGGTTATTATCTCACCAAATATAAAATACCTTTCAGTTTATAAACACATTGGCTTTCCAGACGTTTGTAAATTAGACGTATGTTCATGGAAACAGCTGTAAAGGAAATTTACATAAAATCTATAGTTTTTCCCAATTAAAAAATAAGCGTTACTGAATTTTTTGTCATAGGGCAGATGCAACATCTACATTGTTATCATGAAAGTGCAATTAAAAATTAACAGACTACGCTGCCCAATCCAATCATAGTTAATCGTCAACTCTTAACTGTACTGTGTACATTTCTTTTAAACTCTGCATTGTCCACAACTAAATGTTACATGGGGCTGGCTAACTGAATTATGTGTTAAGTAGTGCTTTGTTTTTGTTGTTAAATGCCCCTACCACCACCACCACCATATCCCCTCTCCACCGATCACAGAGAACCGAGAGGCCCTCTCCAACCAGGAACTCTCGAGAGCACTCCACCACTCAGCTGCTCACTTCAATCAGGCCGGAGAGTGAGCGACGGGACACACGACAAACCTCTCCAGCTCGCCATCGTACGAGAGAACGAGAGCGGGCAGCCGCTGGCAAGGGCAGTTCGGAGGTCGCGCTCATTACAAATGAACCACAATAACTCGCTGATCTCGTCAAGTAACATAAACCGTGACGCGACACTCCGATCGTCTTCACAGTAACTTTTGGCTAGCCATCGAACAAAGACACTCACTGCATCGCGTGTTTTCGGATGCGTTTATGTGGCCGTCTGGAACGCTCTTCCTTCCGATATTAGGACGCCACTGGAGCTATGCACTTTTAAATAATCATCTAGATTGACAAACTCGTTTCCTTAGAACTGCTTTTTTGTCATTACCGTAGTTTGTTGCCATTCTCCTGCACCTCAGTACGGTGCGAAAGAAGTTCAACATACTCGCGTGCAGAAGGGCAAAATACATTCAAATTACAAATGAGCGGAGTCCTCTTTGCTCGTACGTCACGGTGATTGGCACAGAGCCATATGTCGATATCGAGCTTGGTGAGCCAGCTGAGGCCCGTAACTCTGCAAGCGATGTTACGAATGTCCGAGGCGTTGCCAGCGAACGAGCGAAGCGGCAATTGGTGGACGATGTGTTCCATCGGTTGGGCTTTGATCGCCGCATTCGCATTGCCCGCTGATTTTAATCGTCCACCAGCAGTAAGAGGTGGCCGGCGCATCTGCGGTCCGAGGGTTGGGTTGTGGATTAAGGCAGACCGCTTGATCATTGTTTGGTAGGTCCATCCGAGCGGTTCTGCAGATAAATTACCTCCAGCGATAGTGGCACCGCTGGAGTAATGTAATGTAGATATTTAAAAAAAAACACGCAATTAATCGTGTCGTCTCGTGTAGCCGATATACAATTACCAATACAAATTTACACACGTGTTGAGGAGTAGTTGAAGACGTCATCACACCCTGGGATGTATGATGGATGACGTCTTGTCACCCTGATATATAAGGGGGGACCCGTGACGTGAAAGGGGTCGTGGTTGGAAGTCGGGACCCAGGGTAGGGAGAAATTAGCACCAGGCTAGGGCGGCTACTTCACCCGGCCGACCGAGTTGGCTGATCCCACGGTCGGTGCTGAGGGAAGAGCCTGAATAGCCTGGGTGGGTAATAGGGACCTCCCAGTACCCTTCCCTCGGGAGGATATATGATGACCCGTAATAACTGTTAGGCTTAATCCCTGTTAAGTTCCTAGGCGTAAGCCCTGTTATGTTCCTAGGCGTAAGCCCCTGATAAACGTTGGCATCAGCCCTTACGAAAATCCGCGTCAGCGTCGTCATTTACACCACAACACATGTAATGCAAGAGAATTACACATAGTACTGTAGTGAAATTATATTGAAGTGAGATACAACCCATAACGTGTTTTTTTTATTTAGATGAATGGAAATATCATGTGAGTGCAGTGAGCTCGTGAGAGCCCACGTTTCAGTCCATCTGATAATGATATCAGCATCATCGTAGTCAACGAAGATCTGTCCACTGCTAAATGAATGCCTTCTCAAACCATCGTCATCTATCACAGTGTCGTGATGCAACAGTCCATCTAGATTCCCTTTATTTATCCATGAAACCCTTGCTGAGTTTTCAAGACGGTTTTTTTTTCTCCGTGTGGTGTTGCCCATCCAAGTACTGTCAAAGGTCACTCTTGCTGACATTTTTTTAGATCTGATGAAATTGGACACATTCCGGGGAATTGGTCATAATCTCCATTGTATCAGCACCATATTTCATTGACACAGCCATGGAAGGCCTCTTGAAATACATGTCCAAAAATATGTTCGTGTAGAAGTCAGATAACATCCCTACCAGATGCACTGGGAATGATTTTGACATAGCTTTAACTTGCCCTGCCCATCATTACGAAGATCCGTTGGGATTGTGAGCAGAGGGTAATGGACCAGCAGTGGTGTTCGATCCTGTTGAAATGCCTTGCACCTCTGTTTTAACAGATGGAGGATATGGGATCTGTACAGGACCATCTCTCCATCAAGGCACTCTGTGGAGTTCTGCAAGTTTCTGGAGAATTGACACTGGTAGAACATATTCCACCGAGATCCAGGCAGAGGAGTTGCAGCTTCTTCGGGCCATGGAAGTGTTTGAACGTTTCAAGTAACCAGACACAGCCATCGCCTGGTGTGGGGTGGAGTGGTTGTATAGTACGAATCACTCTGATAAAGCCCATGGTGGTGAGATGTTAAATACCTCGCCTGGTATGAAGGAGGTTGTGGGTTTGGTCCCGACCCTGACGCCTGTAATTTTGGAGTTTGCATATTCTCCACCGTGGGTGCGTGGATTTTTCTCCGGGTCCTCCGGTTTTTCCCTCTGCATTTCGAAATATGCCTTTTAGAGTATTTGAATGCTCTAAATGTCCACACGACGAGCCCCTTCGTTGAGCTATCATTTGTAGGCCAGGTCGCTTCTAAAAGATAAGCTATGTAGCTCAGTGGGCACCTTACCTGGTCAAAAAAAAAAGTTTAAATCGTTCTTTATAGTTTTATATAAGCCGGATGGCCTGAGTTCAATTCCTGGCCACGGCTAATATCGGGAGTGAGCGATATCTGAACCATACCCGTGGCTTTACCCCTCCACAGACCCACACTGAGCACCGCCGAAATGTTTCGGTGGGAATGAGGGTGGAGCGGTTGTTTCGTACGAATAACTCTGATAAAGCCAATGGTGGCGAGATGTTAAATACCTCGCCATTACCCCCATTACAAAAGAGCCCTCATCCAGCAGTGGATTGACAAACGGTTGAAGATCATATTATTATTTTTTTCTCCTCAACTTTTCATCATATAATCGCCATGCCTTAAATGTAATCTGGAAAACGCTTTCCAAAAGCCACGTTGTTTTTTTTGTTGTTGTTGCCTGGTTGTTTGAACAATTCGTGAGGAAATCAAACTTCTGAAGAATACAACGAGCACCGCATAATCACGATATGTCGCGAAATAAACGATACGATTATTGTGGATTGTTGTATCGTAGCGTTGACAAGCAGCAAAGCAACCTTATTATCCATTTGCTCGCCTCGAAACAAGACCCCAACAAACGCACATTGATGCATAAATGTACTTTGTTGCTTGCAGACTTTATGGATGCCTGTATGATTTTTTTTTAACGAATTGTATCTTTCCTGTGTGAAAAGTCATAAAATATGATTCACTTGAAAATGTTGTCACTTTGCAACACGCAACATGGTCCAGTACAGACCTTATCGGTCGCCCCGTGCCCCCTGTAAATATCAACGTTCATGCTACAAAGTCTCGCCACAAGGGAGAAGCACAAACCTTGTGTTTGTGCCCGTATTGAAACGGCTGTAACGCCGTATGGACCTGAAAACTCAATTTGGGGCCGTCCA